ATACCTACCTACACATCCCTGTCTTACAATACCTACCTACACATCCCTGTCTTACAATACCTACCTACACATCCCTGTCTTACAATACCTACCTACACATCCCTGTCTTACAATCCCTACCCTGTGTCCTAAGCATAGATCCCAGCCTCTTCCTCAATACATCAGCATCTCTGCTTCTTCATCCCCACATTCCTACCCTACACTTATGGCTTCTAAAGTTGAATTCGCCAACCCACATTCGTCTAGCAGTCTTCGTTAAGCACTACTACTGGGAGTGGTTGTTACCGCATGCGTGTCTCCCGGCCCGCGCCCTATCTCACACTCTGTCTCTCTCTTTCCCCCGAAGCGCGCCTCGTTCACCGCTCGCGAGCGAGGAACACACGCGCCGTGTAGACGGGAGGTTCCACGAGCGAACATTGCAGCGTGAGCGAGGAACACACGCGCGTGCATCACGCGGGCGGAAGGTTCGACGCGCGCGAGCGGTGACGGGGCGGCGCGGGCCGCGCGTCTTAGACCGGTCACCCGTCGCTGAGGATGACAAACGAGATAAACGTGGATGCAAGAGAAACCGTACGCCGTCAGCTGCGTTTACATTTCTTTACTCGCGAGTCTGGAAGGAAGAGTTGCGGCTGGACGGAAAAGACCCGGTGGACGGCTAGGATGAGCCCATCCGCCTACACGGCCGGGCAAGAACAGAAACAAACCGCACTGTAGTAACTCGCGACACAACCCGGGAGTCCGCGCCAGTGGCCACCGCCCCCACCCTTTCCTGCAAGTCTCGCGTCGCCACGGCGACTCACGGCGTCGCCATATTTGGGCATTTTCGACGCGTAGCACGGAGCGATAAAATATTCGTTTTTCGCTTGCGAACGAAAGATGCCGGAGTCTCCCAGAAAGAGGGGGGCGATGGGTGGCCAGAGAATTGAGGGGCACAGATCATGCCTTGAACCAAATGCACATCCATCTGCACTGAAGTGTGTCTACTACACACACAGAACTACTGTAGCAACAGAGGCGCCCTCTCCAGGACAGAAAAACTAACTAGCAGCTCTAAACCGAGCAGGAAGAGTGAGAGGAGAGCAAGGGAGGAGCAGCTACACGAGAGAGAGAAGCACGAACGTTCACTTGTTCACCCATACCTGCTGGCCGCAGTTTGCGCAAAAAGAGCAAGACAAAACATGCCTTAAGTGACCATCACCGTATGCACGCGTGCCACATACGATATACTGTAAACCCTTCCACCACAATGTGCGCGCTGATGCCCACACACAGTGGTGCCCCCTATTCTCCCCCATCCTGGTGGCTTCTCCGAAATCACAGTGCGTGCGCAAGACCACGTGAAATCGACGGTCGCGGGCGCAGCTCCGAAAAGTTTTTGTGCGGGCGTGCGAGAGAGTCCCCTTGGTGGCAAGGGGGCGTTAGATTGTGAGGCAGGCAGGTGGGTGGGGGTGGCGGCGGTGGGTAGGGGTAGTCCATAGACTACAAAGGGTTTAGAGTATACAAGACAACGACAAACACATGGTTTGCGTTGCCGGCGCGCCAGAGACAGTCGAATTGTTGAGTGCGCGTGTGTCACGGTGCATTTTCGACCGTCGAATTTATGAGATCGTGCCAATGTGTGCATTTTGTTCAAAACATCTTCCAATCCCCTCTTGAACAAACAAATGCACAGCATGCAAACCCTGGGCTCCTCGTTACGATTAATCAACCATTTAACATTAGATCGCAAATTCTCTGTACGATAACACTTTTAAAGAAGTGAACGATCAAGCTAGCATTAGTTTTTTTTATTCTGAGAAGTCAAATTTAAAATGAATTCTCAGCTCAACTTCATACTGAGTGAGTGAGAAATAATGCAGACTCGAGAACAATAGAACGACTGCGACCATTTTGAAACAGACACGTATATTGGAAACTGTATAGAGACTGTATAGAAACTGTATAGAGACTGTATAGAAACTGTATAGAGACTGTATAGAAACTGTATAGAGACTGTATATTTACTTGGAGCTCAAAACCTTTACATGAAAATTTAAGAGACTCGAAACACAATTTCGCGAATTTGAAACTATACCAAAAAATGGGGCCGGAATGGCAAAGTAAGAGGATAAGTATTGAGACGTGTCTCGTAGCCGAGACACGCCTCACTAAACATGTGCCTCACACGGCAGAGAGAAAGTAAATGCTTACTTGTTCTGCTGAACCGGGAAACTGAAATGTACAAATCATAGAAATTCCTCAGTGAGCCGCCTGCCCTCTCACTCACGGCTACAAGTGGTGCACACCCTGCCACAGGCATACGATTCATGCCCCTCCCCCTGCCACACCACAATTCAAGCCCCTCCCCCTGCCACACCACGATTCAAGCCCCTCCCCCTGCCACACCACGACTGCCTACGATTCAAGCCCCTCCCCCTGCCACTACACGGCTGCCTACGATTCAAGCCCCTCCCCGTGCCACACCACGATGCCTACAATTCACGACACAGCAAGAGAGCATCTGCGGGCGGGGTGTGGTATGGCAGGGGGCAGCACTGCGTCACGCGTGGGTGTATGAGATGAGTGAGGGGCGCGCGTCTCGCCTCTGAAGACATGCCTAAAATCCGAAGCCATCGCCTGCTTGAGTGCGTGATGCTCGTCGCCATGGTTACCGTCTGAGCCAGTGAGCTCAGCCTCCTAGCAAAGCCTGCTTCGTCGTGAACACTCACTCCGCTTAACGAGCAACTACTAAGCAAACTCTAACACTGGAGTCTCTCCATTTCCCTTCTTTTCCCCATCCACTCCCCAACTCCTCCCCATCCTGACTCTCAAACCTGGTGTCATTATACGCATTGCTATGCCTCTGTGCTGCTGCCAGGGAACAGTCATGCGAACGCACGAACGAATGCATGTGCACGCACGCGCACACGAGCAGCTAGTAACGCGAAGGAAGTGCTTGTACCAGACTTACCATGCCAGAGCGGAACTTTCTCTCAGTCACTTGCTTTGTAAGTGGATCTGGAAAACCAAATTGATTAGCGAGATATAATCCTGTGACAGAGCCTCGCACGAAAGTAGCGAAACAGACCTCGTCACGACTCACGCAAAACGTTTGACAATATAATTTCGGTAAAAACAGCACCACAGATAATAACCGGGAGGAATTTGCAAGGAAGACATGGTTCATACAGGAGGACTGAAAATGTTTTCAAGGACTTTTCAAGGACATTTTATCAGAAATTCAAGGACATTTTATCGGACATTTTATCGGAATTCATACACAGAACAAAACATACAGGTCTGGATTAATTTAATAATAACCCCATTCTTAATCACTGTCACCTCTAAAACTTACCTGGATCACATTAATAAACCCTTTCAAAACACTGTCACTTCTACAACATACCTTGATTTACTGACTGATTTTACTGACTTACTGTAATTTGTGGTCATCATTTAACTGTCTAGCGTGTCAATAGCTTTTTAAGCGCATTTAAAGCAATTTTTATTGAGGTTTGCACATTATTGATGGTACAAAATTTCTTTTTATTACAGGCAAGGACTGTTTCTAAAAATTCAAGGACATTTTATCGGAATTCATACACAGAACAAAACATACAGGTCTGGATTAATTTAATAATAACCCCATTCTTAATCACTGTCACCTCTAAAACTTACCTGGATAATATCAGGAGTGTATCAATAGGAGTGAGACAGACTGAAACCGGCAAAATTCAACATTTAGTAGC